TGAAAACTTTCAAAAACTTATATGTTCTGATACCCGTTCCCGAGATTACTGGTCTCTCACCCATAACCAAACCAACTGGCTTATTTCAGAGTATAAATAATGGAGAGTTCACATAAGTTCTGAACTTTTTGATTTGGACGATTGGAACGCTCAAAAAACTATCATATAGTGAAAGGAGCGAATCAAAGCATTGGCCGTTTCCCTTTCTTGGGCCAAAAATAGTATAAACATACATACGCATTGATAGATATGGCGCTCTGATCGCATGCCTGCCGAGTCCTTTTGAACTGGTGACAATTGTTTCTCGTTTTTGTTGTTTTTTCAAAAATTATTGTTGTTTTCTTACTAATTGTTACGTCATTTGGGACTTCGTAAAAGTTTGCGAAGTTATGGGGGCTTCGTTCTCAAAAAACCTCCAACTCGCATGCCTATAGAGTTTGATAGACCTAACTTATCTAACACTCCGATAGTGCTTGCAAATTTTGATGATTTTAAACATGTGTAAAGTAAGGCCACGTCAAATGACTTCCACTGTATGAACCAAACTAGGTATTTGGTTGGCTGACTTTTTTACTGACAGCTGTTTGTTCCGAACCGCAGATTCCGCTACGCTACTTTTGCAGGCGACATTGAGTATCCATCCTGCAAGGATAGCTTATGTGTCTTAATGAATTCTGTAGAAGACTGGATAGGATGGGTTTGCTATGTTAATCCGCGGTGTGCAGGCACGATAAGCTTCGCAGGAGTGTGTCACGCAGGTGCTCACGTATCACTCAAAGACATCAAACCAACGTATAGCGTAACCAACGTATACTAACGTATCCTATCAGTGGCTGTCCTCAGGGTTTCGGGGGGGGGGGCAAGAAGTTTTTTTCGGACAAGGGGGCGCGGCATTAGTCACGCATAGCGATAAATTTTTTGTGATGCACTCCAAAATTTTTAAGGACCCATAACCCCGAAATTTCAAAGAGGCTGAAGTTTCTAAAAACAATTTCATTCACCGATAAAAACTGATTATTACCATATTTTATAACCCATGTGCGTCAGGGAGGGGGGGGGGGGGGAGTTAGGAGTCGTTCATCTCACTTTCTATGATGATTTTGGTGGGTTGTGGTAACTTACCCTTGCGCATCATGCGTTTACTCAAAATTTATTGCCATTTTCTTTCTAAGAAAATGGCAGTGAATTGTAAGAAAACCCTTTAGCTTTTTCTGTGAAGTATTACAAAGGAACCATGCTATTCAATGTTCTAATTAGAATCAGTTGTTTGCGGTATGCACTAAGCTACACTCTCACGAAAACACTATCACAAAATTAACGAAGTCTCACTATATGCCTAGCGCATCCACATGCATTACGGACTACATAATGAAGGGATCGCCCATCAAACTGACTCCATATCCGCTTTCAACGTAAACACCCACTCCCTGACGAAGTCCCTCATATCCCTCAAATTCAGAAGATATCACAACTACCGCAGATCTCGGAAATTATAGGGCCGTAGTAAACCCCCATTCATCTCAGGTGACTTGAGATGAATCATTCAGAAGAACTTCCTCGGGTGACCCTAATCCCGCCCACCTTCCCGTGCTTTAGGATAGTCAGTTCAGCAGTCAGAAGAATGTCTGGTCAAGTGTCACAGTCAGTTCACCAGAATGCCACTTATCCGAGGTTGAATTTTAGGGTGACCCGAGAGAAATAGTGTGCTTAAGAGGAGGATCAGACAAATTTCTCGTAAGTTGCTCGTGAGTAACTTACGGGACAATCTAGCCCACGTATTCTTGCGGTGCAAAACTCCCAAAATTGCACGTTTTCGGCGGCCTAAATGGGAGAGGATTGATGAACAGCTGATTGCGGCGAAAAAACGAGAAAACAGGATTTCTTGGATTTCTTCTTTTTTTCAGAGTTTAACTACGTTTTTCCTTTAAGAACTGTTTGAAACAAGGATTTTTTGATTTTTTTAATCTGCTCTATGTTCAAAAATTTTCGTTTTCCATGAATTCCTCGCCAAAATGTGGTAGTTTTGTTTTATCCATCGTTTGCTTGGCGATATCTTTGACAACGGTCGCCATCGATCTTTCTCGCTAGCGGCCGCTATCGAAGATTGTCCTGCGGTGGCGCAAAATTGTGCCACTAGCCGGCTCTGAACCATGGACATTCTCATTGAAATCCATGCACTTAGCCTCTCGACCACACCACTCAAGGAGTTCATTTTTTGAGAACGCACAAGATCATTGGGTCTGAAAAGCGATCCGAATCCGGATCGATGGCTCACCGGATGCCGGACTGAGGCGCTCTACGTTCAACGTAGGCCCGCCCCCAGCCGAGTTGGGCTGAGAGGGGGTTTACTACGGGCCATAGACTTGAAAGATTGGTCCTACTCCATCGTCATAATTGTATGGACTCCAAAGTGGTTGTGATTGGCAATATGTTTGTAATTGCGATGTGTTGTGTACAGAAGAGGAAAAACTCCTCAAAGCGCAATGCCTAATCTCATCGCCAGCACTAACCGTTATAATTCTGGCACAAGCGCAACGTTGTACGTTAACGTCAACGCAAAACCACATTCAAACTAAACACATGCTCTCACTTTGCCTCCCATTCATTACAGACAGAGTCATCTCTGCTTCCCACCCAGCATCTTTTAGACATAGCTGCTAGAGATACATTTTGATTATCGTGACAAAGAAGCTGCTAGAGATACATTTTGATTATCGTGACAAAGACAACTCAAAAAAGTGCTTGTTCAGAATCAGCTTTACAGAAACATTCTACAATAATTGCGTAGTGTGTCCATAAAGCAGATCAAATGACTGCGCGGAGGTGGGGGTAATATACCGATTCAAACCGCGTGATGTTTTAAATCGCCTCGAAAATAGATTCCTTTTTTTTCAAACGAGCACCACATTTATCCGCCACATGTACAGAACTGTGCCAAACCTTTGAGAAACTTTTTCAGAAACTGTAACAAGAACTGTATCGTTTACATGTTTTTATTGAATTCTCCCACACAGAATGATCAAGTAAGCAGCAATGATGCATTATTTGGCATTTTATGGGCGAAATTATATTGTGCGCATGTCATTCCTTTTCTGTCTTGATGTTGTGCCGCAACGAGCTTATTGTGAATATTCAGACTTTATTAGCGTTGTTATGTTTTTGCTTGCTTCTTCTTTCAGTTCTTCCACGCAGTTGTATGTACAAGTTAGCAAGTAAATTGCATATTTCGTAAGCGAGCCATTGAGCTGTCAAGAACATACTGGCACTTTTTATTAGCTTGCTATAGCTTCGCAATCGTTCACACCCCAAAAATGCGTAAAGGGTACCTTTTGATAAAGCAAAGCAAGATCTACATCCTGGTATTCATGCTTTCGCGTTAGGTTTCATTTAAGGTTGTTTGAAAGTCAAGTCTAGAAAGGTCTAAGTGCCTAAAATATCGAAAAAGTAAATCCCAAAACTTTCTACTACTTCACATTAGGACACATTCATACTTTCGCGATCACACATACGTATGCACGCTTGATGTACTTTTCATGTCAAGAAAGTGAGACAAAGAAGATTTTCGTAATTTCAAAAAGCAGTGCTGAGCCCTTCGTAAATGAGTAAGCTGTTTTAGATTCTCTCTTCTACGTTTTTGTGTTAAAATCGATATCTCTCAAAAAGTTGCGCTCAGAAGACTGAAAATTTTCAGATCATCACAGGTAGTATAGGGTTACTTTTGTAAAAAGGCACCATGGATTTGAAAAAAGAGAAATTCGTTTTTTTTCACTTTTTGGTCAGGGAAAAACAGCAACTATACATATGAATGCCTGATGTCGAAAGTAGAGTGTGCTAGTGTGAGGTTTGTAGGAACTTTTCGAGAAACGATTTTTGCGGTTTTTTTGTCATCTCAGGCAGCGGATAGGACCCCTCCGCCGGAGAAATGGCAGGGTCGCGGCGTTTCCCCAGCGGTGGGTCTCCCATTTGTCCGGCGGAGCCCTCCCATTTCTCCGGCGGAGACCTCCCATTTCTGCTCCGGATACCTCCCATTTTCTGCTCCGGATACCTCCCATTTTCTGCTCCGGATACCTCCCACTTTCTGCTCCGGATACCTCCCATTTCTGCTCCGGATACCTCCCATTTTCTGCTCCGGATACCTCCCATTTTCTGCTCCGGATACCTCCCACTTTCTGCTCCGGATACCTCCCACTTCCTGCTCCAAATACCTCCCATTTTCTGCTCCGGACACCTCCCATTTTCTGCTCCGGATACCTCCCATTTTCTGCTCCGGAGACCTCCCATTTTCTGCTCCGGATACCTCCCATTTTCTGCTCCGGAGCCCTCCCATTTCTGCTCCGGATACCTCCCATTTTCTGGATGCCTCCCATTTTCTGCTCCGGATACCTCCCATTTTCTGCTCCGGAGGCCTCCCATTTCTGCTCCGGACCCCTCCCATTTTCTCCGGCGCGGCTCTTCCAAATTTGGCGGACACGCGCCGCGCAAATTTCTCCGGCACGGAGTCCGCCAAATCTGGCAGAGTCGCGCCGGAGAAATGGCGGACCTTTGCAGCAGGGCCGGAGAAGCCTCCCATTTGCCTGCCAGTGATGTCACCGCGATGGACCGCCCATTTGCCCTTCTCTCATTGGTCAACTGGGTCCGGCGCGACTCTGGCAGTTTCGGAGGGTCCGGCGGAGGGGTCCCGTCGATTGTCTGAGATAAAGAATTTTCCTTGCGCTCTTTTGGGTTGTGGGTGGTTGCGGTGTTGTAGCAAGCAATAAAAAGCGCCTTATTTTAGTGACAACTCATCCAAGATATAACTGCTGCGTTCAAGATTACTGATCATTTGTGTGATTGATTGATACCCTCAGGCGTTGAATTGGTAGTCAGAATATAATAGAGCAACAAATAGAACAAAGTTTGAGCCGTTCAGAAAATCGTCGATTTTTGCAAGTCCAATATACGTGAGAATAACATATGCGTTTAGTGGCTAATATGAGTAGCGCTTCCAAAAAACACTATTTATCATTTACAGATAACTGGCTATTCCCATGATACGGACATTTGTCTTGCTGTGCCTTTTTTCTTCATGCTATTGCATTTTTGGAATCGGTCATAAGCAGACAGTTGGAATAGTGGGGAAACTTCTCTGTAACGGTAAACCCGCTGCTGGAGTGAAAATAAAGCTGTACGATAAGGAATTCTGTGAGTTAAAGCTGCAGTGATGAGCTCCGTTCAAAATACACTTTTCAGTTATCGACAGAAAGCTGGCTCAAGTCAAAACGGACAACAATGGATCCTTCAAGATCTCAGGGACTGCTAAGGAGTTGTCCAAAATTGACCCACAGCTCAATATCTATCATAAATGCAACTATAAGTGGGTAAGGTCCTTGCTGATTCTTAACATTTTGGATGTCCAACAGAATATTGAAATACCAAACTTACGAGGTTATACGAATGCTGTTTAGCTTTGCTACAAAAAGCTCAGAATAAGGATTCCATCAAAGTATATAAGCAAAGGAGAACAAGTAAAGCAGTATTTCAACATTAGCACATTGGAGCTCGCCATGAAGATCAGAGGAGAAAAGATTGACTGCATAAATTAAACACAAATTGATTGAATTTTCTATTCGACTGCAGATCTGAAGTTTGACATAGCTCGATGTCAGTCATGTGCACGAACATGAATTGAGAATGTAACAACTATAGAAAATATACATTTCCTCTTACTACATCCTCTTGCCATTCTCCCAAAATCCTTAATGATTGAAGACTTTGTAAGCTTAATTTCAAAGCCCATGATCTTCATCTTTTCGCAATATTTTGTTAGTTCTCTCTCTAAGATTTGAACTTAATTTGTGAAATAAGTTAACAAAATAAGGCATGAGCGGTGAAATTCCCCTACAGGCCGCTCCATGTGTATCGCTTCAGCTTTGCTCTAATTTTCAAGCCTTTTCAGCAAAATTCAACTTGAATTGTTATGGTACCTGCTCAGTTTCAAAGGTAACTAGTGTAGTTCTAATGAAGTCCCAAATACCAATCGACACATAGGTAGCTTGACTAGCTAGCTATATCTCGCCACTCAACTGTTAACACGCTATTCAGATGCGAGAAGATCGTCCCGCAAGCTACAGTATCTTAATTCCTGTAACTCAGGGTTGGCTTTTTTTGTAGGTGTCGTTGGAGGTGCGTGACATTCTTACACACAGTCGTTCTAATTCCCCGAAATCTCTTGCAAGACACAAGTTTGAAATAATTAGTTAGTTATATGTTCAAAAGTGCGTTCAAAGATTTGAAAGTATGGAGCATATCGGAGCATACTCAGGGTTTGTATATAAAACTTTTAAAAAATGGGCGGAAACATTATAACGAATTCCGCTTGGATAGAATGACCAATACTGAAGCACTGTTAACAGGGAAAGATCCTTAGTCAAAGTAGCCTATCCAGCTGTGATGCGTTAAGTCCTAAAAGGTTAAACGTTGAGTTCAAATCTGTTTTCCTTATCAGCGGAGTTCCCTCGGGAAGTTAAAGTGAAAGTTATGAGCATTGCATGGGTCAAAAAATGAACGCCTGATCAGAGTAAGAAGTTGACAGGCTTTTCAACTCGCAAATGGAATCATGGCGAGCACGAAGTAGCAAGTAGCAAGCAAGAACTTTTCTCCATAGAAAAGTTTAACAGTCACCATTGTTCCAAGTTCATGAGAGTTCTCCATAAATGATTTCCTTCTATAATACTATACTAACTGTTGCTCCAAAAGCGCTTACTACTCCTTTTCAGAGGCGCTCCGAGATAAGGAAGACACATTTAGAACCAGCGTTTTGTTGCCCTTCGAAAAGGTATGCGTTTCTTCAAAAGGGCACTTCGAGTAAGAGGCCTTACCCTGTCAGGCCCTTATGCAAAACGTTGTTTCAAAAATATTAATGATTAAAGTATCCAAATTCGAGTTTCAATGATTTCGCTTTTAACGGCGGCAGGTGCCATGAAGTCAGACATGTGCATTAGGCAAGGGACATACCTCACGCGATCAGTCGCCACGCGATCTGGCAATTTGCCATATGTCTTCAAATTTAATACTGGAAGACCTCAAATGCACAGCATGTATGACTTTCGTAGGTTGATAAAATGTCCCCTCCTCCGTACATTCAGAAACTCCGTTGGATGAATTATGAACATTTGGAGTATTGCCAAATCGCGTGGCGATTGAAATCGCGTGAGGTATGCCCGAGGCCTTAGGGTACCTTCAAATCGCGGAGGAAGCCGCCGCTGACGGCTTATGCGCACTATTTGAGTTTCTTGTCTCTGAGATCGAAACCATGAATCTTGCTGAAACCTAGTTTAGCGGAGTTATTAGACGTGCTGATTACGAATAGCTTAACTTTTTTACGTTTTGGAAAGGCCTCGGAATGCTAAGGTAGTGCGCAAAAGCTGCTACAGGCGGCTAGCCGGCACGGTGTGAACGCACCCTTACCTGTGTAACTGCATCACTTTACTACTTGCTGCAAAAGGTTCCCTTCCAGTATTGTTCTCTTAAACTTCGCCCCGTATTCAAAACTTTATTTCGTTGAATGTTAGCAAATGAAGGCAAAAGATTCACAAAAACGCTGATATTGGCAATTTGCTGAATGTTTATCGTTATTTCAGTGACCAGTTGGAATTTATTCACGATTATGAGGTTGTGTAATAAGTTCGCTGGCTTTTCGGTTCGATTTTCTGTCGAAATACTTGCGGTGTTGTGAACGCTCTTACTATGCTCTACCATGCTCTACAAACTGCCTTGCTTCATTTACTCAACGGGTTCAGGAAAATGAATAATGCTGTAGTCCTAATTGATATGCAAAGAGGTAGAAATTCTATTGCAATCATTTTTGATTGCAATATAACCTCTTCAAATAGGTCAAATCCTTGAATAGCTCAAAAAGGTAGAGTATTATATGTCGGTGATAGAGTTCACTGCTTGAGGGCAGCTCGTACAGAACAGTAATGTCTGTAATACGTGTGACTACTAGCCTGTCGCACATGTCCGCCTGTAACCACTCCCTTTCGGCGACTCTATGCATAAATTATATTCGTTTTGAATTAATACCTCGATAAACATTTTTCTTACCTCCAAAATGAGCCTCAGGATAATATTCGTAAAAGTTCTACAAGTGAAGGTTTGAGCATTCGCATAAAATGCATACCACTTTGAGTGAACCAAAATCCAGAAAAATCTGAACACGATTCAAATATTGGATATCTGTCGGAAAAATTTCTGCGAGTTCCCAACTTCTCTTTTCTACACTTTCTAATCCAGGCTTTTATATACGCAGTCACTTGTTATTTACCTGAAAACCGAGGAGCAGAAACACAACAGTACGCAAATATCGCTTTTTTCGGCTAACCGAGTATTTCTGGCAAAGTATCTTATATATTAGGTCGTTTCAAAAGTAATTTCGCTTTTTTCAAACGGGCACCACATGTGACGGAACAAAGGTCTCTAAGAGATTTTGGAGGCATTCGATGCAAAATTTCATTTTCTTTCTAAGGCTATGAAATTGTTGCAAAACAGTCAATGAGCTTTCAGAAAATAACCAAAATCTGCGACCTATGCTTTTTGAGATGGTCAAGTTTCATGATTTTTTAAAACTTTCATATCAATCCTCAAAAGGAATTCAAGTAAGGCTTCGATAGAGCAAACCTTATAGAATATAGTACTACTTTTTTGTCCTTTCCATAGCTTGTCATGCACTTTTAACAGATTTTTAACTGATGCTACCGATTTCCATACTACTTGGGCAGCTAAATTCTCGTAGAACATCAAAAGAAGAGCAGCTCGCCACTATTCGATGCAGCATTTTCTCCTCTTTTTAACAGGTGTTTTTTGTTTCCGATTCTTTAGTTTCCGGGGAGAAATCATCATAACTCATTTTTTTAGCGAGCCCCAGGCTGTACCCGAAAAACTCGAAATTTGATATTTCGAACCCGTAAACCCTCAATTGCTTGTAAAATCAATGCTAACTCAGAGTGCCATCTTGGTAGTCTCAAATTCCGAAAAATTATGATGTTTGATGCGATTGTGGCTGAGATGGGCCTGCCAAAATCCGATGGTTCTGTTAATAAATCTTTTAAAAAATTACGGCGAGCTACGAGAAAAAAAAAAGCAGTTCTGTATTCTAAAAGGTTTACTCTATCGAAGCCTTACTTGAACTCCTTTTGAGGATTGATATGAAAGCTTTGAAAAATTGTGAAACTTGACTATCTCAAAAAGCATAGATGGCAGGTTTGGCTTATTTTCTGATAGCTCATTGATTTTTTTTGCAACAATTTCATAACCATTAGAAAGAAAATAAAATTCTGCATCGAATGCCTCCAAGATCTCTTAGAGACCTTTGTTCCGTCACATGTGGTGCCCGTTTGAAAAAAGCGAAATCACTTTTGAAACGACCTAATATAAAGCTGAATGTCTGTATGTCTGCCTGTGTGTATGTATGTATGTATGTGTGTGCGTATGTTCCGAATAGAAAATTCCATTTCTGAACCGATCCGGACCAAACTTGGCACACATACACTTCGGGCCCCGGCGGGTGTCATAGGCTACTTTTCGTCATCGATCGATATCGATTTTATCGATTTTTGTCGATTTTTTTGCTGAGTTCACCTATGGGGCTGGGAGTTGGCACAGGGGGGGGGGGGGGTAATCAAGCATGGGGATTCCGAATACAATATTAGTTTTCAGTATTATCGATTACTTTTATCGATTTTATCGATTTTTTTGCAAAGTTTGAGCTACGGGGCTGGGAGTTTGCACAGGAGGGGGGGGGGGGTAATCGAGCATGCTGATTACGAATACAATATTAGTTTTCAGAATTATCGATTACTTTTATCGATTTTATCGATTTTTTTGCAAAGTTTGAGCTACGGGGCTGGGAGTTTGCACAGGAGGGGGGGGGGGTAATCGAGCATGCTGATTACGAATACAATATTAGTTTTCAGAATTATCGATTACTTTTATCGATTTTATCGATTTTTTGCAAAGTTTGAGCTACGGGGCTGGGAGTTTGCACAGGGGGTAATCGAGCATGCTGATTACGAGTTTGATATTAATTTGGCGCTATTCGGCTAACCGGACCCCAAAATTTTTTTGTCGTAGAGCTTGCTCAGATTCGTGTATAAGGGTTATCTTACATGCTGATTACAGATATCACACTTTCGTCACAGAAAGTCTCCCCATGTGTTTACGAAAGATGTACGGTAGCAAGTCAAAATCATGAATTCGGCTGGAGGAGTTCGGTCCAGAGAGCTTGTTCGACATGCTGATTATGAATTTCATACTCTCTCTGCATATTGGGACCTCTTCATAGAGTTGTGGTGGTTATATACGGCGTAAGGTCGAAAACATAGATTTGCTTCAAACTTCGTCTAAGGTGATCATTTAGCGCGCTGAACATGAATATCATGTTGATTTCGCAGGATAGTGCATTTTCTTGGGTTACGGTGGGTGTAAATGGGTCGAAGTTCCAGATTTGCTCAAAACCTTACCTGTAACGGTTCACAAGTATACTGCTTATGAATATGAAACTTGCTCGCTGTCATAGCGGATTAGTGAAATTATGGTTGCAGGATTTGAATGGACAGGGCCAACTTAGATCCCAGATATTCATGGAATGGGGAAACGGTCGTTTTGCATGGCGGTCTCCCGCGCCATCCTGATAACCTGTCCCAACGTGTAACGCACGCGGCAAATCTCCCTCCCCCTGTTTTTGCTTAGGCAAAAGCCGCCGAAGGATGTATCGCGCGCGGCAGTGGTCCTATAGGGAAAGCATTACGGTCGTGGGAAACTTTTATACCACACGAATTGCCTTTATCGCGGGGATTAAGCACGATATTCTTTAAACAGCACTTTAGGTAATTCCCTGCCAAGGTTTCAGGCAGGTTTATGATTTTTACCCGCTGCCACGCGATGACTATGAATTGTCATCAGCGGCTCAAATAACCCCCATATACCGAGTTTGAGCAAGATTCGTTACAAAAACATTTTGGGGCCCGGATAGCCGAATAACGCCATCAGTTTTTAGAATCATCCTTATTTTTATCGATTTTATTGCTTTTTTTTGTGCAAAGTTTGAGCTATGGGGCTGGGGGGTTGGTGGGGAAGGTAGGTGAGCATACTGACTACTCACGCAGTGGGAATAGGGAATGTAGAAGTGGGCACAGGTTAAGGTGTACAGGGAGAGAAATGAAATCTTTATCGTTTTTGACAGGCCGGGCGGAGCCGGGTAAGCCAGCTAGTCGCTTATAAAAGGTAAAAAATCATGTGTATACTCTCTTTAAGCTGAAAACTGCCTTTGTGAGAGCAACCCAGCATTGCCCTTGGAAAGAAACATATCAATTTGTTTAATTCCTAACCATAAAGAATTTTGCGATTCTAAATCTGAATGTGCGATGAAGGGTGTAACTTTATGCAAGAGCAAGCTACGGAACCGTAGAAGTTATCAAGAAGCTTTCGAGCCTTTCGAAACTTCAATTGTGGTCTTGAACTCAATGTGGAATTCTGTGCAAATGCTTAAAACTTATAGAACTTGCTTTGCTTTGTAGAAATTTACTACAGTTGATCTAAAAGTAAGAAAAATATGACTTATTGTTAGTGAGGTGAAAGTCAAAACGCGCATAATTTATTGGATAACCTCAAACTGATTTACTAAAAGATAATGTCAAGGCTCAATTGCCTAAAGACGTTAGCGATAAGATAGTGCTAGCAAATTAGTCTCATGCAGTGAGCCACTATCATTTTGAGAATCAACACAAACTTTAATCGACCTTGAAATACTTCATAAAAAGTTCACATCATTCAAATAGCTGTAAAAGTATGAGAGTTTGATGCACTGAACTTCTTTTGGTAACTTGAAACTAACTTGCAGTTCTACAGAACATATTGTGATACATTTTTGATGAGCTATAATTAGAAATTTTCGATAAAGCAAAGTAAGTTCTATAAGGTCCAAGCACCTCACTAGATTCGAAGTGGAGTTCAAAACCAGAATACGAAAAGTTTTAAAAGGCTCGAATATTTATAAAAATTGCATTTCCTTCTCGAAAATTTCTTCGGGTTCCCAACTTGCTCAGGCACATGCACTCTTGATCTCATATTCACATGTACCCTTTGCTTCAACCATATCGGCGGCTAGAGGGCGGTTTCGTGACCTAATTAAGGCTAGAAAATGAGCAGAGAGCATGTTCGCGAGAGAGGCGCAGACTGCAAACACTCGCCTCCTAAGTCATGAAGCCCGGCCCCAGGCGGCCGATCTGATTAAAGCAAAGGGTACACTTACTACATTTTTATGGCCAGAGTTTGAGAAAACGAATTAATTTGTTCTTTTCGATGGAAATGCTGTGTTGCTTTCGTATAGGCATTTTCTAACATAAAGGGAATTCTCATGGTTTTCAACCTCTCATAAGCGATAGTTTGCGAGGGCCAGATTCTATCCGAAAAAAGCGACATTTTCGTAGTTTTAAAATGTTTCTCCCTCTTTATTTTTAGGTAAAAAACACAGTTACTGCATATATATAAGCCTGGAACAGAGAGTGTATGAATGAGCAAGTTGGAGCTCACAGATTTCCTGACAGATATCCGACTCTTCGAATTCGTATTTAAATTTTCTGGATTTTGGCTTCAAGTTCAAAATGGAATGCACTTTGTGCGAATCTTGAACCGCCACTTGTAAAGCTTGCCTTGCTTTATGAACGATCGAGGCTCATTTACTTAGTTAGAAAAATATGTTTATCGAGGGGATAATTAAAACGGAAAGAACCTATGGTATAAAGCAAATTTTTATTCACACAGTTAGCGACTTTCTCAGCTCTTTTCAGCATTTTACCTTTTGAAAGAAGAAGAAGTGATATAGCAATCAAAGATAGATTTTCGACCTTTTTGCTTGCCAGTTGGGAAGCTACGCAATGTTCCCAAATCCGCTTAGAAAATAATGCAAGATAGTCTGTAGAGCATAACAGAGAAGTAGGAGCTTTCAAAAGCAACTGCACATTTTAGTAAATACCGCGTAGAATTTCGAGAGAAAATCGAATAAAAAGCTAACGACTTTATTACAACCACATAATCGTGACCATATTCCAACTGGTAAATGAAATAACTGATAAACATTCAGCAAACTGCAACAATTTTATGGACACAAGGTGAAATTCGAAAGAAAAAACTGTTTGAAAGGACCACTTGCAGCAAGTAGTAAAGTCATACAGTTGCTCAGGTAATGCACATGTTTGACATTCAGGCATCTGCCTCCGCCAAAGGCGAAAATGATTTGAACCCAAATTGGACTGTCATTTATTTTGACATCTTGCGTACGGGCCTTACAGGGTAAGAATTCTTAGTCGAAGTGGCCTTTTCGTAAGAAACGCTGACCTTCTTGAAAGACATCAAACGCTGTTTCCAAATGTGTTTTTGTTACCTTCGGGCGTCCCTGGACAAAGAGTTGCGAAATTAGGGCAAAATTTTTAACGTAGTTAGAAATGTCATTTATAAAAGACCCTCATGAACTCAAACGGAACACTAGTGATTGTTAAACCTTTCTATGGAGAAAATTCTTGCTTGCTACCTCATGCTCGTCATTACTCCATCTAATTGCCGTCACCATTAATTCTGCTCGGATCAGGTGTTCTAGCTTACTCATAAAACGCTCACAACTCTTCACCCAAGACGAAAAAATAAGAGTTTGAATTGAGCGTTCACTGCCTTCAAGATTACATGCATACCAGTTGCAGAGACCGTTCGTCTAAAGATCCTTTACTAGTTAAACACTTTTTAGTAATAATTATTCTGTCCAGACGGAAATGTTCAATATAATTTTTCCGCATCATTTTTGCTATTCATATACCATTCCGTTATGACTTTTTCAAATCTTTGAACACTTTCAAACATAGAACAACTATTTAATCTAAACCTTGTATCTGAGCAGCAATATTCGGAGAATTAGAATATTTGTGTGTGAGAATGCACCTTCACCGAAACCCCTACGAAAAAAACTAGTCTCGAGTTACAGCATTAAGGATATCGTAGCTTGTGGGACGTTCTTCTCGCATGAATAGCGTGTCAGCAGCCAGGTAACGAAATGTAGCTAGCTAGTATACCTTTGTAGCATCAGTATCGTGGCTTCAGTAGAACCCTAGTATTTTGAAAAGCAAGGATCACAAGCGGTTTAAATCAAATTTGCTGAAAAGGTCTGAAAATGAAAGCAGAGCGGAAAACGGAATTGGTGGCTCAAAGATGTGAAATCTCACCGCAAGGGCATACCTTCTGTTGGTGGATCAGACAGTTCGAAGCGTTAGTTTTGAACGAAAAACTAACAAAACACTAACAAGCAAGACCATGGGGGGGGGAGGAGGGTCTAAGCTTGTAGAGTTCTCTCAGTCATTCGTTCGGATATTCGCCAAATGGCAAGATATGATATATGGGAGAGTACATTTCTTATAACAATCACATTATAAAGTCTTGTTTATAAATATGGCTGAAGCTACGACAGAAAGCTTGGATTTGAGATTGAGGAGAATTTATTCAATGGTTCAATTCATGCAGTCAGTCTTTTGTCCTTTGATCTTCAAGCCAAGTTCCATTGTGTGAATGTTTAAGTACTGCTTCACTTTTTCTCCTTTGCTTATGTACTTCGATGGGATCTTTATGCTGAGCTTCTTGTAGCAAGGCTGAACAGCATTCGTATAGCCTCATAAGTTGAGCACTTTGACATTCAGTAAGACATCTGAATTGTTCAGAATTAGCAAAGATTTTACCCCTTTATAGTTGCATTTGTGATAGATATTGAGCTGTGGGTCAATTTTGGAGAACTCCTTAGCAGTGCCTGAAATCGTAAACGATCCATCTTTGTCGGTTTTGGTTTGAGCCAGCTTTCTGTCTTTTACTGAAAGGTGAATTTGAATTAAGCTCACCATTGCAGCCTTGACTCACATGGTTCCACATCGTACAGCTTTATTTTCACTCCAGTAGCAGGTTTTCTGTTACAAAGAAGTTTCCCCACTACTCCAACTGTCTGCTTGGGACGAAGTCCAAAAACGCAACAGCATAGAGAGAAAAGACACAGCAAGATCAATGTTCGCATTCTATAAATAGCCAATTATCTGTGGACGTAAGATAAATCGTGTCTTTTTGTAGTGCTGGTCGGTTTTTTTTCTCGTATTTTATTACCCTAATTTCACGCGTATAAGGCGCGAAAGATTTTTTTCCAAAATCGGCAATCCCAGACAAGCAAAAGGACTCTACAACCAAAGAACCCTATTACGTGCTGTATATTGCTTGAGAGAATCGGCGATGTAAGGATTTCTCTCCCGAATACAGTGAAGCGGCGGAACGGCTCGCTTGAAAATTCGAAAAGCGCCTCAAACGCGTGAAATTAGGGTATATCTGTAAATTGCAAACTTGGCTCGTTTTTCTGATTGTAATAGCTCAAGCTTTGCTCTACTTGTTGCTGTATCATTCTGAATACGTCTGAAGGGTATTTACTACACAAATAATCACAAATCCCAAACGCAGCGTTTCGAGAAATCTCAAATTGGGTTGTCAAGAAAATAATAGCGCTTTGTATTGCTTGCTAAAACGCCGCAACCGGCCGCACCCCAAAATACCGAAAACTAAGAAAAATCGATTTACCGGGACCACCTATGAACCTCATACTAGCACGCATTTGTACTTTCGACATCAGGCGTATATGCACAGTTCTGCTTTTTCCTTGACGAGAAAGTGAGAAAACGAAAATTTTCTTGTTTTTCTCAGCCATGCTGAGCCCTTATCACAAGAAATTATACTACGAATCTTGTAACACACCTGTAAATTTTTTCTGAGCTCAGCTTTTGGGACATATCGATTTTATCATAAAAACACAGAAGACGGAAGGCTAAATCTAATATTCCTCGAAAACTGCTGCTCAATAAAAGCTAAATTTAGCAGTTGTACTTAAAATTACTCATGTGGAAAGGCTCAGCATTGCTTCGGAAAATACAAAAGTTTTTATTTTCTCACTTCCTTCATAAGAAGGTACATCAAGTGCACACATGAGCGTGTGATCGCGAAGTACCTATAGATGTGTGCGAGTGTGAAATCAGTAGAAAGTTTCTGGACTCATTTGTTCGGCTTTTGTGCCTTTTAAATTTTGCTGTCAGACAACTTTGATGGAACTTGACGCAAAGCATGAATGCCAGCGTGCAGATCTTGCTTTACTCTATCAAACAGTACCGCTTATGCATTTTTGGGGTCTAAGTGGTTACCACCTACAACGATAAAAAATGGTCAAATTTTCTTGACAGCTCAAAGGCAGTGACTCGGGAAAATTGCGAGTGCGGGCTTTTTACGACTACATGGCCTTCTGGTCCAGTTGAGTCTTGCTTGTACTGCGCTTGAAAAATCAAAAAAGTGCTTTTTTGGCGTTTCCGGGCCTTGGAGATTGCTGGAGGGGGGGGGGGCGAGGGATTCAACCCAAAAGAAGCAACTGGCTGCTGGAGACTGTAACTCCGCCTATATTGACGGCAATTGGCTGATCAGAATAGGCAGCCATCGCGATACAATTTGCCTCCAAAGTAGGTGGAGTTATAGTCTCCTGCAGCTGGTTGCTCATTTTGGGACGAATCGCCCCTCCCCTCCACTAATCTCCAAGGCCGGGAAACGCCATAAAGCACTTTTTTGACTTTTCAAGCGTAGTACCGGACTCAGCTGGTCCGAAAGGCCATGTAGTCGTGGAAAGCTCGCAGTCGCAATTTTCCCGAGCCACTGTCTTTAATAGCTTTCCTGCGAAATATGCCGTCTACATTTTTATGCAGTTGCATGGAAGAATTCAGAGGGGAAACAAGCAAGAGCATGACAACGCCAACAAAGGAGATCTGAATGTTTTCAATAGGCCCGTTGGCGATGGCATAAAGACAGAAACGAAATGATATGCGAACGATATAATTTCGCCCTTGAAAAACCAAATGGTGCATCATTGCTGCCTATTTTATTATTTTGTAATTGGAAATCTTATGAAAACATTTGAACGGCCCTGTTACAGTATTTGGAACAGTTTGGTACAATTTTGTACCCTCCAAATTGTAACTAACATATACTAGCGAAATAGTAAATAGGATCTAGAGTCTTTAGGGTAACTACCTACCTGCACAAAAGTACCTATCACTAGTTGTCTATAAGCCGAATGCTTGGCAGCCTTCCTTATTCTTCAAAAATTCAAACAAGCTTTTATATAGGATGCGAGTGTGGCAATCAAGCCCTAATATAACATGAACGTCTTCTGCACACACTGCCCTCACAAATCAAGAACTAAGTTTAATGTTGTCCACCCTCTATGCATTAAGAGCTAGAGGAGGCATAAGGCCTTTAGTGGTACAACTGTCGAACTTCGTCAAATTAGTTTTACGATAGTCACACAAACTAAGCCTACCACTATACATTCGATCAAAGAATTTATAGAGAGGTCCGTGTTCCATTACATATAAGAAATGAATATACTAAAATCAATAAATGATATAAAAGTAGACAACAATAACAAAAAATAAAATAAAATAAAATAAAATAAAAAATAAATAATTAAATAAATAAAAAATAAATAAATAAATAAATAAAATAAAGTAAAATAAAATAAAATAAAAAAAAATACAACAATAACACAACGATATAGGGGATAAGGGATATTTAATGGATAATTAACACATGATATGTACATACAAAAATACAAAAAATACAAAAAATACAAAAATACAAAAAATACAAAAAATACAAATACACCTAGATATGGTCACTTATACACAAATAAATTGAAAGTACAAACATGCATACAAAGACATATAAGTATAAGGGCACACACATACACCTATATACTAGGTACACACGTGCTTACAATACGTTCATACTTTTTAACATATTAATTATAGCAGTAAGGCACACGTATGCATGCAAGTAAGAATGTTAAGTCGTACAAACACAAATAACAGCAAGAACAAAAACAATAAAAACAATAAAAACAATAACAATTTCAAAAAGCTACATATACACTTACTTACTATACACACGTACATAGATTACTCATAAATAGATATTAGAATACATAGACACATACATACACGAATACAGATACATATTGACATACATATGTACACATAACACATAACATAACATACAAACATATAACATACAAACATATATACATATGCACACATGAATATTAGATTGACAAACAATATCTAACATCTAGCTACAATGCTAACAAATAGTGGACACAACTTATACAAATTTAATATATGTTGTGCTATTACGTAAATAGAAGAACATTAATACGACTCAAAATACAGTATAGTAAAACGATAGATATTATATTATCGCTGTGCTAATAGGAAATATCTAAATAAGTATTAAATTATCTGTTCGGGAGAACCCTGGCGTGGTGTTGGGCATCAGAAATCCAATGCGGTTTACACCACGGGTAGCGCTCCCCTGCGATGAAGAGGCTTGCCCTAGCCAAGGAGGAAATACCCTCTGATAAGGAAACCGCATAAGAGTCCAGGAAGGACCGCCTCTGACTCAATGGATTGAGGTCCGCCACTAATAACAATTTTAATGAGAATTCGTGTTTAATGTTGTCCTCGTCCCCAAACACAAGAATAGGCAATCGAAATAAGACAGTAAACATACCAGAGTATACCAATAACACAGGAAGGAGATGTGGTAGAAAGAAATGCTCTTTATGCGATAAGATAAATTTTCAGAATAAGGTAAAAAGTTCTACTACTAATTTTTATTTCAAAACTAACAAAACAGACACATCCAACTGTGACTCCAAAAACGTTGTGTATATGATAACATGTCTGACTTGTGGACAACAGTACATAGGGGAGACCAAACAAACTCTAAGGCAACGTATAAACCAACACAGTAGAAGTATACGTAAACTAACATTGAAAACATACATGGTTGAGCACTTCAGATCCACTGGACATAGTACATCAGAGATATCCGTGGATATATTGGACCATGTTGGTAGTGCAGAAGATAGTAAGAAGAAGTTGAGAGAAAAAGAGCTGCAGTGGATTAAATACATGATCACAGCATATCCGTTCGGTTTTAACGATCAGATAAAAGGTTATGGTAACATCTCAGATTTCATCAATCCTTTGGAAAAGAAGGAACACCCCTACTTTCAATGTCCCATACAAGTAAAGAGATACAGAGGAAAGAAGAGAAGAGCAAGGAGAAAAGCATTATGCCCTAACAGAACAAATGAAATACTACGCAACATAAGTGAATTGCAAACATATGAATTGTATAAATACTTCCGTACATTGAACAAACATGATATAGATAGACTAATTGATGTAACCTTTGATAACCAATTCAACAGTTACGATTACGATTTGAAACTTAAAGTCTATGCACTTGTCGCAAGGCCATTTTGGAATCGAAAACCCTACAAAACTGAGAATCATAAATATCTGTATATAACAGTTCCATATTTAGGAAGCATTATAGACAAATTGAAACTAAATAGTATATGCAATGATAGAGAGATAAAGGAAGCTGTAAGTACAGCCATACCGGAAAGGAAAGAAGAACTACAAGGGCTAAGAGTAGCAGTTAGATATAAGCTGAAACATCCTGTAGGGATTTACTTGTGTAATTACAATAGATTCCTCAAGAATATTAATATCAATAATGTTGATGATATATTACACAAGGAATGTGAGTGTAACAAACACATAGATTACATAAACAGGGATTTAGGACACATATGTACGGGAGATACAAACTTCATCAAAAATGAAGAACTTAGAAAGCTATTTAGTAAAGGGTACAAATATAGAACGCATTCTTTCATATGCAAACAAGACATACTTACATTGTTAGAGGAGCTAGCTAGCAATATGGCACACATATTTCGAAGTGTGTTTAAGGCAGATAATAGTGTAGAAATAATCTTAAAAAGACGTTTCAATGAACATATTATTAATAAGACGACACCTAAACTATATAGCATTATGGAGCAGAGAGAAATGATAGAAGACCAATATAAACAAGAAGATTTAAATGAATTGCATAAACATTACGTAGTTACTCCAATAGATAAAGCAAGCTCTAATTTTGCTTTCACTTGTAAAAAATTATATTTGATGATGATACAGAAAGAACTACAACAGGAGGATAACAACGCCAAAACTTATGTAAATACAACGCTGCAAATGGAACAAGTCAGAACGATACATCGAAGTATCTTGAATGGATTAAACATTAAAGATTTTCCCGCATTCAATGAAATACCGAGAATCTATGGAATTCCTAAAATGCATAAGACACCTCTCAAATTCAGATATATAACAGGAGCCAAAAAAAGTACCTTAAAGCCATTGACTAAGCTTTTGACAATTATATTGAGTCATATAAGAAAGCATTTCATGAATCATTGCAATGTGATTTTCCATAGAAGCAAAATCAAACATTTTTGGGCAATAAGTAACAACACAAATATTATAAAAGAAATTAACGGCATGGGTGGAGAAAGGAGAATCTTCTCAGCAGATTTTTCCAGCCTCTTTACAAGCCTACCACATACAGTGGTAAGAAAGAATTTGACGAAGCTTATAGAACTATGTATGAGAGGATACAGATATATAAGAGTAGAAAATTATACAGCGACATACACAAACACGACTACAGCCAAAGGAAAATACTTTCAAAGAGAAGACTTATTATACATGATAGATATGCTTCTCGATAACAGTTACTTGAGCTTTGCAGGTATAATTTACAAACAGGAGAGAGGCATACCACAAGGGGCATCGTGCAGCCCTCAAATGGCAGATTTGACTTTAGCCTACATGGAATTTGAATATATGAGGAGGCGAGCCATAAGTAGTAACGTCACAAATAAATACGCTTTCAACAACACATACAGATACATTGATGATATTCTACATATCTCGAAAGAAATCAAAGAGTTTGAGGAGGCTCTAAAGGAGATTTACCATAAGGAATTAGTGATAGAGAAGACTAATGCTAGCGATACCGAAACTAATTTTTTGGATCTCAGTGTTCATATAGTAGATAATTCAGTAAAGCTTAGTCTATATAATAAAACAGATGCATATGATTTTGATGTCTTGAGGTATCCAAAGTGGGCTTCAAACGTACCTAGATACATTATTTTCAACACTTTCAAATCAGAAATACTGAGAATTTATAGGAATTGTACAGAGTACACTGCTTTTAAAACTAAAATTATCCAACTCTGTAAAATTAGTAAAGACAACGGATGGGAAGAAAGCATACTACTTCGAGTTTTATGTTTGACATTTAAAGAAAACCCTTTTATCTTACGTAAGTATGGCTTTTACGTAGCTTTACATCTTCCATTGGTACATGACATACGGGAACTTTGGAAAGCACCTTCTGTTTGATATTTTAGATATTGCACGGTTTTTTCTGAGAGAATAATTGAACAGATACCATGACACATGGATGAATTCGGCCAACCTCTCCTTTAGTTTTTTGAATTCGAGCGGGAGAGTGCACGTTCTGTCAGACGATACATTATACATCTCATTCTCAATCATTGGACTTCCTCTCTTTCATTATGCTTGGACTTCATTCTTACAATTATGATCTGTAGGGCTCCAGTACCTCACCAGAAATTTAGCATCATTAGCACTTTTACACTTCCTCGGGAACTACTGAAGATGGGGCACCGAGGAAGTCACATACCCGGTCTAGTTCTTAGCCCCGAAACCGGTTATGTGGAAAATTATTTACTTCAATAATCTAACATCATAGATACATTTCTATTATTTCCGTCAACTGACCACCCCCTTTTTTTGTTTTATGAGCTGTTGAATTTCAAAAAGCGCTTTTTTACCTGCTTTTTCAAGACTCTGGATCTCGGCACTGTTTCAGTGAATCGGTACGGCTAAGATGTATTAAGATAAGGCAAACCTTACTCTACAAAACCTATGAAGTCGCAACATCACACATTTTCACTTGCAAGATTTAGATGAGTTTAACTGTCAGCTGTCAAAAAACACGCAAAAATGGCGTAAATTTTTAAAATTCTGGTTTTCGACGACTATCTCTCAAATCGACTCGATTCTTTCACTGTCTGATAGAGCACCATTTTCTCTTCAAAAACTATGAAGTCGCAACTGCTGACATCTTCAAACAACAGATTTATAACACTGGAAATTTTGCATGATTTTTCACTATTTAATTATTCGAAATTCTGGTTCTCGGCCGTTACTGCCTGGATCGATCTACTTTCTTCGTTGTACGTTATAACAGAATTTGCATAATAAGATCCGTACATTTTCGCTAAGTTTTACTTCCAAATACACCATTTACTGAACACGTTTATTTTAAATATATATGCCGCCCCATACATAAATATATGCTTTCAATAATCTTTTTGCGTTTGTTTTGCTTATTTTCCTTCTTTATCGTCCAGCGAAAAATTTTTTATTCCAAAAGTGAAGGTGGTCACCCTGTACCAGCTCAAAAGTGAAGATAGGGGGAGAATCGGCTCCCACTATCGCACCTCTGCTACAGGGTTTCGGTGGGTAAGGAGATGGTTCAAAAATCTTCCAAAATTTAAAGTACTTGTAGGCAACTATAGAGGGTATGGCTCACTTCATGCCTGTTTCTGCTAAAACAAAATTGAGGGGTTGAGGCAAGAATAGAAGTCACAAAAATTCAATCATTCCTAAATCTCTTTTTTTGGAGGGGGGGGGGGGAGGGCTATGCGTCCATGAAGCTAGAATATTTTTTGTTTCTCCGCTTTTCCGAAAAAGTTATCAAAGCCGTACTGTTTACGTTTTGTGACTCACACTTTGAATTTCGAGAATAATGAAATAATTATTTTTGCTGCTATTCTGTGGGCTCCTCAAAAGCACCTTTCATAGAGACTATCAATAGAAATTGTACACAGTTGAAAAAGTGAGTCACAAGACGTAAGCAGTGACGGTTTTGGTATTTTTGTTATAGATCAGAGGTTACATAACTCCAAGTAGATCAAAGATGTTCTCCGGTCATGTTCTTTCTTCATGAAGATGAAAAATTCATGAAAAAGTTTTGCAGCAAAGACAGGCTCAACGAGACGGTTGCCAATTTCGTTCCGGTCCTTATATCCAAACCCTATAGTTTTTCTACTGACATTCCGATTTCCGCGTTAAAATCGCCCACAACAAACTTTTCAAGGACTGCTCGTTGCGGACGACTTCGTTTGCTTCTTTATTAGGTTGTCAAGAAAATAATGTCCGTTTTTATTTGCTTGCTTTATCAAAGCAACCAGACTCAACCCAACAAAGGGTAAGGGGTACTGTTCGATAGAGCAAAGCAAGCTCTACAAGATGGCACTCATGTCTTTGCGCCATGCTCGATCCACGGAGAGTTCGAACTCAAAATCTAAAGATTTCCAAATGCCCAAAAAATCGAAAAAAAATCAGATCTTCGTCCAAATAATTTCTACGGACCTCCCACTCGCTCACATCAATACTATCGATATCTGATATCCACATGTGCGATTGCCGTATTTTTTCCTTGACTAGAAACTGAGAAAGCGAAAATTTCCCTGATTTCCTCAAAGCAATGCTGAGCCTTTTTTGCATATGTAGTTCTATACTACAAGCCTGGGTAAGTATAACTGTAGGTTTTCAGCCTATTTCGAGCGGTACTTTTCGAGAAATGTCGATTTTAGCACTGAAACTGAAACGAATAAATTCGAATTCGTTATTTTTCGAAAACTACCGCTTGGAATGAGCTGAAAATCTACAGTTATACTTACCTAGGCCTGTAGTATAGAACTACATGTGCAAAAACGGCTCAGCATTGCTTTGAGAAAATCAGGGAAATTTTCGTTTTCTCATTTTCTAGTCAAGGAAAAAATACGGCAACCGCACATATGGATATCAGATATCGATAGTATTGATATGAGCGAGTGGGAGGTCCGTAGAAATTATCTGAACGAAGATCTGATATTTTTCGATTTTTTGGGCATTTGGAAATCTTTAGATTTTGAGTTCGAACTCTCCGTGGATCGAGCATGGCGCAAAGACATGAGTGCCATCTTGTAGAGCTTGCTTTGCTCTATCGAACAGTACCCCTTACCCTTTGTTGGGTTGAGTCTGGTTGCTTTGATAAAGCAAGCAAATAAAAACGGACATTATTTTCTTGACAACCTAATAGAAAGCATCTAGTTCTGATTCTTCAGCTGCTGATGTTGGAGAGTAGCAGCTGACTAGCAGTAGGTTGGCTGATTGAAGTGATAGGATCTCATGCGAATAGACATTAAGGTGGACGACAATGTTGTTGTCCAACCTATCACCCCAATGTTCTATGACGGAACTTCCTCACGAATTCATGGGTTTCCATCACTCATCTATGGCACCTTGATGTGGTACATGATGTCTCGGCAAGGTCGAGGAAAGTTATGATGTCGGTGCTGGTGAAGACTATTCCGGGTTGGTGTAAAGCATGAGGCAGTTTCCGCGTGTACATTATAGTATTCGTCCAATCCAAACGGCGCCCTGAACAACCTTATATCGTTCTTCTTCTCACTGCGCCGGAAATGGAATCGGTGCAGGGTCTCTTTATTTTCTTCTTGCTGATCGGGTAAGAAACTTTTTTTTCCGACAATAGCAGACCCAGTCTGTGCTCTTGCCTTCCAAAGGGCGAGCCAATCCTGGTACTCAAGATGGAATCGCCAGCGGTTCTTATCTGACGCCAGTTGACGGGAAGTTTGGCCTGGCCCGTTTAGGGATCCAACCAAATCAAGAAAGTTGATCTTCACAGCTTGGGAGGCCCTAGTATGGCATACGCTTGGTTGTGCATGCACTTCGACTCCGTGGCCACTCACACGATGAGGCGGAGGACCATAGCGGGGGTTTTGACACTGACCAAGAAACCAGAAGAATTTGGACTCGATATATGAAGTGGGATACGCAATTTCGAAATCTATGGGTGCGGTTCTATGGTAGCGATGGTGATAGCTTTAGGTTCATTAGATTCTCAGTTAGGAAGGACTTTAAATTGTTAGGCAAAAATACCAATATTTAGTCGAATTCTCCACATGGTATTCTAAAATGCTGTAAGCACAACGCGAACGATTCACATCTACTCTAGACTCCTGATTTTTCTGGTATCCGATAAAATGGCGAGTACTTCAAATTTTTGCAAGATTTTCACAAGGGTCGAGCAAGAGGTGTGGCACACGACCGTCGGATACGAACAGTCTCTTCCTCCCCCAAATCCCTTTCAAAAAACCTCCGTCATAAGGCCTTATCAGACACGATGAGTGAAGTATTCATAAGCGGATAACCCTTGTGATGCAGGTTTCAGTGATTCTGGGCTTTCCGAGTACTTGGACTCACAAGTATGCTCATTTTCAAAGCAATTAATCTTGAGTTAAAGGTGGGATAGAAACTAATTTAGTAGTCAGTACAAAGTACTCGATCGTTACCTATAGGAATACCAATTTAAAATAACCACTAACTATGGAATGGAGCCAGCCAAAATTTAGTTAGCCTAATTTTTCGTTTTCAGCTAATCTGTGCTTACAGCAACTATCGCAGAGACCACAAAGAGACGAATTACTCTTGATTACTTCCGTATACGAAATCTAGGCTATCAAACTGTACATTATGTTCGCTATGTGACAAAATCTACGGGGTACTGCACAAGGACAAAAGTGGTGTGGCTGCCACACTCCTTCAACTTCTCAAAGCATTCAGACATTTATGTTAGCTACGTCTCCAAAACTGCTGAAACTTCTTCTCTTTGAAATTTCAACCAAATTTGTTTTTTCAAAGAATATATCTATTTTTTCATCTTTGGAAATTTTTGGTTGCAATAGCATGCTAAGTCTGCACTGCTACGTATCTTGCGAGAAGGTGACAAGAATATAGAAAATTTCGTTGGGAGAAACGAGATTTTGGCTGAATCTTAATCCCTAAAAAGCTATTTGGAATGGGATTCTTATTGTGGGCATAGTGAGAACAAAAAGAAATAGCTAAGCCACTTCCAAAACAAAGTTAACCATGCTTGAGGATGACCCATTTCATTTGGATAGCCCAATGATTGGTCCTAGGGGTTATTCGACATGCTAATTACTGTCACTTCTTGTGCATGGTGGAGCCGCTTGATTATGTTCACCGTAAGTATACGATGTCAACGCTCATCGCGTTTGTATTAGCTTGATCCGAAAGTTCGTTTGTACCTTTTTCAAAAAGTTATGAATTCCTCCAGTCTCAATAGGTTTTCTTGAATTTATATTTGTTCGAAAATCGAAATCATGATCTTTACAGTTTCTTGCTTGGATATGTATAAGCAAATGTGAGAATAAAAAGCCAACGAAAAAAATACTTGAAATCAAATTCTTGAGCAAGGTCACCATATTTTGAAAGTATTTTTATCTGAGAGTAGAAATTAAGCGCTTCGCACTAGTACTATTAATAGGTACATTCAATCACCACAAATCTTATCTTATTGTTAGAACCTATCATCAAAAAGTACATGATTTCCTCATCATAAGATTTTTTCTAACCAAATCGGGCAGATAGCAGAGTTACGT